TTTTTAATTAATTTTAATGAAAGTTTACAGAGACTTAGGGTTTCTAGTCATTCATTGTTGCACTTTTCTCCCTGACCACCCTTCCCCCCAATTCGCTCTTCTCTTTGAAAAGTAAAAGAAAAATTCTTTCACTGTTATACAGTCACTCCCCCGAAGTCCACTGCAATGTGCAGCCTTCATTTTGGACTCCTGTCATGACAATAATACATAATCATATATCCCTTTTAAACAGTTCTCTCCCTCACCTGTTTCAATGCAGAAAATACTCCCTCTTTTAAAAAACAGCTATGGAGTCCTAGGGCTGGTTCTGCTCTGCGAATGCCCTGGGACTCTTTGCCAACCTCCGGCAGTCTCCTTCCTCACGCTCATCCCAGTTGCAATTAATGAATTGACAGTGTCATTTTTGTTTAGCACTTGAAAAACAAAATCTGTTTCCACTTATGTACAGTGGAGGTCTGGACACCATGAGATAATTAAGCCCATCACGTCTTCTGCTTTTCTCTAAAGTTGGACACTGCTCTTAATGTCAGAGATGCCAGATCCTCTTTTTTTACTTGAAATGTGATCATATGAGTGGTTTCCATTTTGCTTCTTAAAACAGTAGATTAGCCTTGCTAACCATGTATTCCTGAGCCAGGTAAGAGGGTGGGGAGCGACAGGATGAAGTTTGAGAGGTGTGTTAGCACCAGACGAGTTATTTTGGGATTTAAAACATATGCGGGATTGTGGACTGCCTGCATTTGCATGCTGCAGAGGCTCACGAATCACTTTAGTAAGGTTCAAGATCAGCCCAGCCAGGGCTTCTGCAGCACCTCTCTGTGGAGTTTCCAGATGTGATTTTGTTTCTCTTTGCTGCACCCCTCCCTGAATTCTCAAACCCCGTGCCCTGGCATAGTGCTTCATTTCCTCTGCTGTGTCTTCCGATTCCTTGGGTGCTTGTCCATTCTCCGCCCTTCTGCTCAGGGGTAACCAGTCATCCTATAGAAATGGAGAGAATAAATTTGCCTTTAAAGCCACTATATTACAGTAATTTGTTGTTGAACAGCAATAAACTCATAGAGTTTTATAAAAGTTCATAGCGTCACTCATTCATTGAAGCCCATCCCATTTCCTTTGCTTCCCTTCTGAAGGATCCTTCCTGGTGCTGCTTCCAAGACCTGAGCTGGCTGACATTCATGGGAAAGTGTGGCTGCTGGTGGCCAGTGTCATCCCTAAGGCCTGGTTCTTCTGGGTGTGGGTGTCCCTAAGTTCACTGTGCTCTCAGGCTTCTGTGCATTTTCTGGGGGGCTTCCTGGGAAATATCTCCAAAAAAATCTGGGCCCTCGCTCCCAGGGAAGCTGATGACACTCTGGTCCCTTTGTGCCCAATGGTCCGGGAGCACCACCCAGAGGTTGTGTCTGGTCATTGCATGTTTGAGAAGGACCGCTGTTGGCAGAAGTCCCCATAACATAATGCGTGGATTGGTGGTTCAAATCCATAGGCTCCCTCCATAGGAGAAAGATCGTCAGTCTCTTATAAAGACTTACAGCCTCAGAAACCTTACCAATGGTCACTAGATGCTGGAATCAACGGCAATGAATTTGAGTGTTGAGTATTGTTGGTTTTGGTTTTAAGCAGTGAAGCTGCTGCCTCCACTCGCTTTCCCCCGACCCTAGCCTGAAGAGCAGCTTCTGGCCTGTTAGAAGGGGCTAGAGAGGTTATCCCAGACACAATCCGTCGGGAATGAGCCCACCTGCTATGTGGATGTTCACACCTTGTGAGATACATCAGACAGGCATGTTATTTTCTTTTTGTGAAGAGGAATGGTAAGCCCTGAGAGATGCCTTCCCCATGTGCCATAGCAAACAACGAACAGCACAGCTGGGTTTGAACCTGGGTCTGACTCTTCATAGGATCTCAGGCCTACCGACTTGGAGGGTGTGGCGGGAGGACACACCCTGCACCCGGGTTACAACATGTAAGACTGCCCCAGTGAAGACCTCTCTTCTTTCTTGTCTCCTCCCTTAGAGCAGACTCACTTACAGCAGAGTTAACACAATTTTCTGTCCCCAGTAGAATTTCCCATTACAGAATATAAGGTCTCAGATCCCTGTGATTATTTTAACAATAATAGTGATTCCTCCTTATTGATGCCATCAATGCCCTCCTGCTCTGCCGTTTCCACACTTATTATCTCATTTTACCCTGCTCAGGGAGTCGGCACCGACAGGCAGAGACCTGTCGGTGGGAGTAGATCCAGCCGGCAGAGATCTTTGGTGCAGCCTGAGCCTCTCCCCCTCCTTTGCTCCTCCAGCCCAAGCAAGTGCCACCAGCATTGTTACTGGGTTTGTTTTGTAGATATTTTTAATTCGTATGGGAGAGCTCTGGTGGCCTAGTGGCAAGAAGCTGTACTGCAATCCCCAAGGCAAGCAGTTCAAAGCCACAGGGGGAGGGATGCCCAAACACCTCTTCTGTGATTAACTGTCTCTGAAAACCTGCTGGAGGGTCAGCTGTGGGTCAATTCTGAATCTACAGTACACAATAACAACAACAGCACAGGCATTTTGAAAGGGAAAATTGCTGATACTTTGGACTTGGAGGCAACAGCTCCCGTGTTCAGGTCAGCTGGCCCCTGGTACCCCAGCATCTGCAAGCCACTTTCCAGGCCTCAGTACCTTGGACATACCTGCCATCTGTTCCCCTAGACTGCACAGACTGAGGCGACCCAAGGTTTCAGTAGCTGTGGCCATGCCTGCCTTCCCCACCAGAATTCCCTCTTCCAGTAGCACATCTGGAAGTTTGAGGAGTTTGAAGGGTGACCAGCTTGTCCCCTTTCCTCCTGTTGCGGGTCCAGAGTCATCCTCATTCTACCCTCTGTAATCTCCTTTAACTCCTGTAGTTCTGGAGGTGTAAACAGCACACCAGTGCCCCAGAATGATTGGTTCTCATTCATCTTCACCTCTAGTTCACCATTCAAAAGGAGAGTGAGGTCTTAATTTAGCATGTGCCTTCAGTCCCCAATTCAGCACAGACATTTGAACCACACAGAGGAAGCTCCCATTAGGTTGAAACCTGAGGCAGCCCTTGTATCCCTCCCTTCATCGCGCCTTGACACCCCAGGGCACAATATCAGCTATCCTAAAGGATTCTGGAGAATCACAGGACCCGCAGCTTCGCTTCCTTGGCGTTTCATGTACAATCAGGAAGAACATTTTAATGAGCCATCACCTTGGCAAATGTTTTTGTTTCTCTAATTTGGAGTGACTGGTAACTTCACTTCTGGCCCCCCATCTGGCCTTTAAATGGCTGCAGGAAGATGTGCCTCGGCTGCTCATTCAGCTCCAGCCTGTGTGGGCTTTGGGCCAGACAAACCCTCCCCCAGGCTAGAGCACGCCAGAGGTATAAGGTAACGACCTAAGTGTTTGTTTCCTCTCTCCGTGCCTTCTCAGTGGAAAAAAAGAGAATGAGTTCATGGCAATAGAATGGCCTTGACTCTTCTTTATGCTTTGTAACTTTGTTGTAACCTTCAGTTTAAGATTAGGAAAGAGTATTTGACAAGAAAAAGGGAGTTCTCTGAAGAGTTGGTGTTTACAGCACTTTCCTTTGTTATGTGATTATGAACCCAGTTATTTCTGAAATAATTGTTAGAGCCAAACTATTTAAATAATTTTATTTGTTTCATCCTTTGGTAGATGAGAAAAATACATTACAAAATACATTATACAGAGGACAGCTCACAGTACACACCACTGAAAACACAATCTACATTCCAGCCAGGGCTGGTGAGAAGTTCAGAAGGAAGCCACAGTGGCCTTGAGATCAGACCTCAGCTCCATGGAGTGAATGCTCCCGTGTCCCCGCGTTATCTCATCTCAGCACGTATTAGCACCCCTAACCAGGTGGGTGTGGGTAGAGCAGCATTGAGGAGGACTGGCAAACTCTCCAGCCACCTGAAGCAGCAGGCTTTCCCATCCCTCAAAATAAAAGGGGTGAGGGGGAGGGTTGTTTAATGACCAATGTGAAAACGGCTGTGGCTCAAAGTAACACAGAACTCTTTTGTACCCTGCTGGTTCCCAGGCTACTGTCTCAAGTCTGGGGTTTCTCTGACCAGATCTTTGCTAAGCCACCCTCGGCCTCTGTCATTGCATTCATCATTCAGTCTGTAGGCACAGGTTCAGAAGAGAGGCTGCCTCAGCTCCAGCCCAAGTTTACAGTGAGGTGCAAGGAGCAGCACCTGCTCTACGCAGAAACCATGCCATGAACAAACACCACAGCACCAGTGCTCTATCTCACAATGGCTGCCTAGCTCTTCCTTGAGCCCAGAGCCTGCGGGGAAGGACACATGAGTATAGAACCAACCTTCAAGGCAAAACACTGTGAGTGACTTGAAGGGGGAAAAATGTTACTTCTCCAAGCCAAGCTTCCTTCACACCTTATACCAAGATTCTTTCATAAGACCAAATGAAGCAAGGCAGGAGGAAGGTAAGCTAAGGGTCATCATCAGTCACTGCTCAGTGCCAGAGGCCACTTCCTGAGCAGTAAAAGAAGCAACAAAGACCCAGGAGTCATAGCTACCCAGCATAAGGCCGAGATCACAAAAGACCATCCACACTCAGAGGAGACTGTGCCCCTAATCCCGTTCAGTTCATCTGAAAGCAATTCTGTGAAGCAGACTCTTAAGCTGTGTCATTTTCTTTTCTCTAGAAATCTGAAAACATCTCAGCAACTAGAAGTTCCGACAGTCGTCTCAGCCAACTACACTGCTATTTAGCAGACCAGGTGCTCTGCTCCAGGGGGCACAATGCTGGGTGCTCCAAATGCCTTCAGGAAATTCTAGACCACGGATGACCAAGACACACGCTTTAGCTCCACCCTTCTCCTGCGGTAGCAGACAAGTGGAACCTCGTTCACTTCTACGAGCAAAGAGGACTGGTGCCCCTCCCCAACCTCCCAAGCAGTTCAGGGGTTAGAGGTGGGGTGGGATGTGGGAATAAAAATAAAGATGAGTCAAGACCAGCATCTTCAAATTAACAAACTGTAATTGTTTTCCCAAAGATACATTTTTTTCATACACATCCATCATACACTGTAACCAAAAAAAGCAGTGTACATGAAATAAGAGAAAATAAATTAAAAATCCATAGCATAGGTAAGGAGGCTCTAGTCTGGAGCACAGCTGAGTTCCAGCAATATAAGGAGGCTCGAAAGTTTCTTTTATAAGAATGCCTGCTAGCAAGGGTTCCAGCAAGGTGGTTGGTTGGTCTGTAAGTCAGTCTTGAGTACTTGAAACAGTTCTGTGTTGGTTTTTTTTTTCCTTAGCGTTTAGAATAGCCATCATTGTCCTGCAATAGGCAGAGCTATCACGTCCAGGAAAAATGAGGGAGGGAACCACAGAGGCAGCGTGAGATCCAAATACAGCATTCAAAGGTAATTGGTCCAGTGGTGCCTGGGGAAGGAGGACAGGGAGGACTCTCCGAGGTTAGCCATCTTCCTTTGGGGGTGTGTACCAGCCTGCAAAGAAACAGCAAAGCATAGTCAGAGAGGTGGAGCTGAAGTCCATCCACCCCAACCATAATCAATGAAGAGATTTTCAGTGGTTTAGATGAGAAGCTCCTGGGAGGGGCTGCCCAATGTGAGGGAAGAGGTGGTGTATGGAAACCACCTACCTGGAGATCATAAAGGAAGAGAAATGATGTGCCCAATCTGAGATGACAGAGGGAGATGAGCCTTTTCAGAGGGGGATAGCGAGGGGCAGGACCAAGAGTACAGGGGCTGTGATCATGAGTGCTCTTCTGGAAAAGGAGGCTATGGGTGTTAACTACCTCAGCCCTTCTTGAGAGAACAGGGCAAGTGCCATGCTTTGATAGGATTGAAGGCTCAGAAACCAAACAGAAGTTGCTATTTGGTTAGAAGTGAAAAAAAAAAACAAACAACCCTCCAGGCTGGTAAGTGTCTGAATCCCTGAGTCCTGGCTCCAGCCTCACCGTTCTTTTCGTGGATCTGCACCAAGGACTTGTAGGACTGCTGTGCTCTTGTCAGACTGTATTGAGACTGCGGAGAGGAAGCCACCAAATCAGGCACTGGCCGCTACCCCTCACAATCCACAGGCTGCCTCCCAACCCTGTTCTATTGATACACTAGCACCCTCCACCTGGGGGGATCCTTTTGGAGCACAGTCCCACAGTCTTCACTTTCCAGACCTTCCAAAGGCTTCAGCTGCCCCTCAGGCTGCCCCTGTGGGCATCCCTGGCCTTCTCATCCCAGTGCCACCAGCCCAGACGTTCAGTCCCTCAGGAAAGGACGCTTTGGCCTCCTAGGAGCCCATAATGTATCCAGCCAGCCCCACCTGCCTGGGGCCAACCTCCTTACTTTATTGGCTCCAAATTGCACTCGTGCTTTTCCCTTCACCAGTGTGGCACTGATCTGCATGATCACAGATTCTATTGAGTAGGCACTGCTCCAGCCCTGGGAACAGGGGACAGAGCAAATCATCAGGGCAGTGTTTCAAGAGGCACCTTAAGCTTGTTCTCCAGGCCAGCAAATGCATCTCTAGGACTCTTGCCCTTTACTCCTAGCACAAGCTGTGTGCCCCGGTCAGGGGGTACAGACCCTGCCTGGAAAAATCCAAGGGCCACATTATGCCTCTCACCCAATCCACAAGGTGTGGATGCGGAACAGCTCAACCTGGGCCCACCCAGCCCCAAACAGTGACAGGCTCACCTGTTTGGTAAGGAGTTCCATGCAGATGGCACCTCCACCCAGAACATACCTGCAGAAGAAAAGTTAGTCAGCTCTACCTGGCAGAAGCTCCAAGTCCCTTCCTCACTCTGCCGTCTCTTCTCTTTCCCCATCACTCACCCTCCAGAGAGGACTGGAGACACAACCCTGACGAATGGTGGATCAAAGGGGAAGTTATCCTGAAAGAGAGACAATTTGAGAAGGGAGGCCAGTGTCCTCCTCTAACTCTAAGGCAGAGGGAAGATGAAGTGAGAGCGGGTGGGACTAGAAAAGAAGAAAACTTACTTTAAAAGAAAAGTTAAGTAGGATGAAATCGGCGCCTTCTTTCTCTTTGAGGATCTGGAGATCATTGTGCAAAGCGCTGTCCTGGTCAACTCTATGAAGCAAGGAGTCCGGGCTCAGACTCCTGGTCCCAGGCCAGCAACCTCCTGATGACTCCCACTGCTGCAGGCTGGCAGTGTATGGACAAACCACTGCCCACACCCACTCCAGGGACCCGGCAACCAGCAGTTGTATGAGACCACCCTGGAGACTCCCGCCATAGTAGCTCCATTCATACCACTCCTCAACTTCCTCCCCAGTCCCCAAGTTCCCACTCACTTGAGGAGTTTGACATTCCAATCATACAGACTGTCATTGACAAGTTCGACTGCATAGTTTCCTAGGAGGAAAGAAGACAGGTGATGGAGAATCTCCAACACAGATCTCTTTCCCAAGCGGAGAGAAAAAGACCAACGACTACGAGTTCACCCCAGATGGGCCAGCTAATGTCCTGAGAAGTCCCAATCTTTTTAAATTTTTTAAAAATTATTTTTGTGTGTGTGTACCACCAAATTGGATTTGATTGGTACAGTAGGAGATTGCTCCCCCTTCTCCATCAGAGGATTTGGTGGATTCAAACTGCGTACCTCTGGGATTGCAGTGCAGCTTCTTGCCACTAGGCCACCAGAGCTCCGAGAAGTCCCATTCTTTTTTTTTTTTTTTTTTTTTTACAGCTTGATACTTCTTTATTCTGGTAATGGTGCTTTTTGAGAAGTCCCATTCTTAACCTAAAAACTTCTTAAGTATCTCTGTCACATAATCCCCAGAGGTCCCTTCCCAACCATTACAACCTCCTTCACAAGGAATTCCTATAGAAAATAGAAAACCTTCAATGTGAACTCACCACCTTTGTAACTCTGTGAACGGTATATATCCCTGAGCTCCTTCATCAGTCGGTCAGTGGCCTGCACCGAGCCAGACACTGCACCCTACAAGAAAGGGACAACAGGAACATTCCATGGTCACACGGTCAAGGACACATATACTACTAGACTGAAGGGGAAGTCTGCCAGTTTGCCTGGGATTCAGGAAGGAATAAACACATCGGTAATCCATATGTGCTTTGCAAACTGACAAGCAATGGCCCACCACCTCCCAACTGGTACCTATCCACCACTTTGCCCAGGCTCTCCCTACAAGGCACGTACATTTAAGTAATCTTGCCTCTGGTTCTTTTTAATTTTCTCTAATATGGCCAAATTTTCCTTGCCAATGCCATCATCTTCAGACTTCTTGCCCTCAGCTGGTTCTTCCTCTTTCATTTCATAGTGATCTAGGTCTTCTGTGTCCTGGGAGAGGTGTGGGATGGAAGCAGAGTAGATGAGATAACCCAACACTGGTTGTGGAGGGGGCTGTTGCCCTTCAGTCCTCTTTGACCCAGAGTCACAGGTTAAGGAGGCAGCACTGTTAGCCTGTGAGCACAGAACCTTTTCATTTGTGGAATAATTCCCAGTCTCCCCCTACAATTTAAAAGAATGAGGCAGACTTCTCTTAGGTCTCAAAAACTGTAATAAGAACCAATGAGAGGAACATTGGGACTTAGTCCTTTTGTTTTCTAGACTGACCTGCTTCAATCATACCTAAAACTCTTCCATGGCAGCAGAACTGCTTTCCAAATTCCTAGCACAATGACTTTGATTTGACATTGTAACTCAAAGCTCCTATTTCAGGAGTTCTGAGGTCTGAAGGAGAAATCTAGTAAAAAAAATCTCTCCCTCTGCCTCCAAGTGCAGGGTCTGAATGATGTATGCAGAGACTCATATTGTCAAGATGGACATGAGAACTAGGAAGGGAGGTAGCAGAGGTCAAGAACAAAGCACCTCACTGCCCATGCTGTAAATGAGATCAAGCACTACTCATGCAGCAAGGAGGCAGGGAAAGCAGCGCATGTCAGGGTTCAACCATCTCAGTGAGATGTGGGATGGGACAATAGCAAGTCGTCCACTGTCTCAGAAAAATAAGTTTCATATATCACCAGCTCTGTGTGGGCTCAAAGACTCTTAAAAAAATTATAGAAATTACAGATCCTGGCCCATTAATCCAAAGCAAAGAAAGTGATCCCCTTGCTCAGGCAGGAAATAATGCTAATCTCTTAATTATTACATTAGTTGCAAATGTTACTGAATTAATGAATTTGTTTATTATGTCAGGAGCACGCTGTTCAAACAACAAAACTCAACTAATATTGAGTACCATCACGTCAGAACTGACCCACAGCTGACCCTCCGGTGGGGTTTCAGAGGCAGTTATTCGCATGGGAGGAGATTGCCCATCCTTCTCCCACGGAGCAGCTGGTGGATTCAAGCCGCATGCCTTCAGGATTGCATTGCAATTTAAATCTTACAACTACCATTGTTATTATTTTTACTACTACTACTATTCTATCATTAACCACATTTTACCAAATGAGGAAGCTAAGATTAACCTCTAGTGAGATTAATGATCATGCCCAAAGTCATACAACTCTTAACAGAGCTGACATGAAGCAAGTTCTATCTAACTCGAAAACTCAATTTCTCTCCATTTTGCTAAAATTATTTTCCAAAAGAATTTATTATCAAAAGAATAGTTAGTACTTATCACACATTATAAAAAGCATTTTATATATCTCATTTAATATACATGACCACCTGAAGAAAATACTATATTTCCATTTTATAGGTGAGAAAACTGTGGCTTAAAAAGATCCAAGATGCAAGCCCAAGTCTGTCCAACCCATCAAATAATTGGTTTGAATAGATTCGTACTTGCTAATACTTCATGCTGTCTTCAGTGGTTGGATGGGGTGCCCTAATTCCTCTACTACACTGGTTATTCCTCCAGATCAATAAATTGTCTTTATTCTGTTATTCCTTTGGCAGTTTTCCTTCTCCAGTTCTATTCTGGAGTTCTGTATCTAATGGGTGGTCCATGCAGTTGACGGAAAACTTCCTACTAAAGCTGGTGCTTCTGCCATTTTAGGGGTAAGCCTACCTCAGGCATCTCCTCATCTTCATCTTCTGAGGACACATCTTCCTGTGTGCACTGCAGTGGGAGGGCAAACAAAGAATTCAGAGCCCCAGCGGCATCCCAGAACAAAGCCCTTCTTCTACTTCCAGCCTGTAGGTCTGGACACTGAGCCTCCCCCTAAGCCAGAGGAGAGTGGAAACCAGGATCCAAGGAGTCACTCTGCTACCTACTTCTCCTCCTAGCAGATGCCAAAAAAATTCAAGCAAAGGAAAATGGTGGTTTCTGTCATCTGCCTCAGAAATCCCTTTTCAATTTTTCCAAAACCACTCCTTTATTTTTCTCTACCTTCAAATGGTGCTCGTTTCTAAATTAACAACAAATGTGGCTAATAGTAAAAGTTTCCCCTCTCTCTCAATTTGAGGGATATTCCCCAAGAAAGTGAATTTTTTTTTTAAATTTTTTATTATTTTGTATGCGCGTACCATCAAATTGGATCTGACTGGTACAGGAGGATATTGCTCCTCCTTCTCCAGCAAGGCATCTGGTGGATTCGAACTGTGTACCTCTGGGATTGCAGTGCAGCGTCTTGCCACTAGGCCACCAGAGCTCCCCGAAAGTGAATTTTTTAAGGACAGATGAAGCTATGAGCACCCCATTTTACCAAATTTCCATCTGGAGAAGACTGAGCACCAGGGTATTCTTGGGTTTGTAGTTGGTGGGCGTGGAGACACTACTGTTGACTTTTTCAGTTAATGAGCTTTTACACTGAGACTTGTCAATGCAACAACTCTGTACCCTGGGGCCCAAACCTCTACAGATACTCACTTGCTCTGCTGGCAAGGGCTGATCCAACATTTCCACATCTGGATGCTGAGGGAGGTTATAGAGTTTACACAGGTCGGAGATGATCCTCTTCAGATGCTGCAATAGCTGAGGGCGGGGGATCAGAGTGACATAAAATATTCTATCTCCTCCTCAATCTAAACAGGTGCATAGGTGAGCTAAGAACTCAAGCCCCAAACTAGTACCTACTTCTCTAAACTTTAAGGTCTATGTGGCTATGCGAACAAGCCCACTGAAGAACGATTCTGGGGTGGGTACAGGGATTGCCCTTTACCTTCAGGCCCCTGTAATGAAATTGCTCCAAAATGTCCAGCTTATTATTCCTTCTACTTTTCAGATACATCTCCCTTTCAGAGGACTTATACCATGGGCCTCACAAGAATAAAACCCCAGCCTCCACCTCAAGACACCCTGGGCCCCTCACCAGAGTATTTCCTTTCTTTATGTCCACCAGTCTCTCCAAGACAGCGGCCAAGTTAGGATCATCAGACTCCACCGACCAGATAGGGGGCACAGCAGGGTATGACTCCTGGAGGGAGATGAGCAAGGAGAGCAGTCAAAATGGGAGACTCTAAAAAAAAGCCAAACCAGCCAGTCCTCCTTAAGCACACATACACACAGAGAGAGACAGAGACACATACTGAACCCACCCAGCTCAGTAGGTCAACATCTAAACAAGTGATTTCCCAACAAGTCTGAGACAGGAGAAAAAGTCCCTGGGAGAATCCTTTCCAAAAAGAAACCTCGAGCCTTTTCTTTCTTAGAAAGTTAAAACAAGAGAAAATAGCAGAGCCAAACCCTGCTGATAGCGAAGTAGGCCTCCCAGACACCCTACTGTCTACATCAGACTTGTGGTTCTCACCACACCCAAGAAAGTCTTCCAACTCTTCTGCTTTTCAAACTCCACAACCAGTTGAGGAAGGGATCACCTCATCACAATCACACATTGATGTAGGAGGAAAGCACACAAAGATTGAAGTGAACTTTAATGGAATAGAGGAGCGATAAAATAAAAGTAAAAGGGTATCAAAAGGACTCTCCCCCACTCCACTCTCAGCAGAGTTCCTCAAAGACTAGTCTCCCCCCCACTTGGGAACCTGCCACCCTCTCAGTCCAAGCGTGGGCTGCAGGACTCCACATGGCAGGCTAGGAGAAAGAAGCCTACGCTGTTGACATTCCCAGCATTCCTGAGCCCCAGTGCCAAATGCAGCCTGACCAGATTCCCATTATCCAAACTAGAGGGGCCAGTTCAGGCCAAGTCTCACATAGTGGGATGGAGGGAGTCTTGACTTCCCACTAGGGGCACTGAAGCCATGAAAGGGCAGCTAGATGGGGACAATCCTGCCCTTCCAGAATTGGAAGCTTAATTCAGGAACTAAATGGGCTCTTAAGGTTTCCACAAATGCCAAAGAAACCAACCGCTTCAACTGGAGATCTTAGCACTACCATGGCTCTAATCCTCAATGCTGTAGGAAAAAGTAATCAAAGATGTCCAGTATTCGAGGACACAGACCTCATCCCTATACTCCCACTCTAATGTTGTAGTTTAAAAGGAGGAGGAAAGGTCTAAGACATGAGTTTTGGAGGGCCACAATCTGACCCAAGTTAAAGCTTGCCTCACCAAACCTTGACTTGGCATGTCTAGGTTTGACTGAGCAAAGGGGTAGAAAATAAGAACCACGTAGTGTGTAGTCAGGGCCCCAAGTACCAAAGAATTCATAAGTCTTTATGTCCCTATACTACTCCCATTAGCAGTCAGCCTATTTAGCTCAAATGCTGTCCCCTTGACTGCTCCTGGCAAGGAGGACATCACAGAAAGTAGTATCGGCTACTCTAAATGCTATCCCATGCAGTACCAGACATCTGCAGAGTCCAATCCTCTTCAAGGCATGCCTGAAGGTAGACCAGGTGGGAAAAATCTAAGGGATCTAGTCTAGTATGCCTCTGGGGATGCTCACCGGGAAAAAACAGAACCGAAACTGCTCACAATAGATGGCCCTTGCACACCACCATCATTACCAGGAAAGGCAACAACCCAGTGCAATTGGAGACATCCACAGGGAACAGGGAGGGGAGTGGCAGATTTGCTACCAGTTGGGGCAAGAAGAGGAGAGTTAGAGGTTACACCAAGAAGGGAGGGTAATTAATCTAGCGAGAAAAAAAAGTCAATGGACTGCTGATTGCCAATTACCACTTGGTAATACCAAGTCAGAGGCCGAGGAAGGGTTGCGTGAGGGATGCCTGGACAGGGATCCCACAGGTGGCAATATCCTACCTAAGTCAAAAGAACTACTGAAAAGGGGACATCATTGAAATATGCAGAGGTCTAGGCCAGGTCTTTCTAGCTGGATCAATGCAGAGGCCTGGAACCCTGAGTCGTGAGTGGGGGAGTGGATGGGCATTCTTAGGTGACAAGGTAAAGTGGTGGAGTGCAGTCCAAATCAGGAACCCTGGGACGTGAGTGGGTTAATGGAAAGGGGTAGTCAGGGTGCCATATGTCGGGGTGCCTTGCTATCAGAGGTCAATGGTGGAAATTACGGGTGCACAGCAGAACCTCAAGAAGCAGAAACAAGTGTAACCTGTGGGAAGGAGCCCAACCCTGGGGGGCTTTGGCCTCCCAGGTTCTAAGAGAGCAAAAAGCTGTATGGGGTGATCGTTGACACGGGGTCCCCAGAGGAGCGCACGCAAAGGGGGTCCTCACCGTGATGTTGCAGTGTATGCGGACGGGATCCCCAGGCACCGACCCCCGGGGAGGGAGATGCGGTCCGGGCGCGGCCCCCGCCCCGGCCCCTCCGGCCCCAGCCAGCAGGAACTCGCAGCTCAGCTCGTCCAGGCAAGCGCTGGCAATGCGGAAGCGCTCGTGGCCGCGGTGGAAGATGGACTCGAG